GATTTTTTGTTGAATGTTGGTTGATTGAGAAGAAGATGCAGCATCAACAACACGCAACAACAACAACAGCAACGACAAATGCAACAGCAGCCGCAGCAGCAGCAACAGCAACAGCAATAATTATAATTATATGTGTATATAATATGCCGGAGAGCAGCGACAACAATATGAAGAATGCATTCGAAATGCACGATGCGGGTTCGATATTCGATATTTGTTTGGAAAAGCATCGAATTGTGTTTGGCATATTTTTGGTTTTTGTTTTGGAAGAGAGAATAAAAAACATAGAATTGTTAAATTAGAAAATCGCTGTGAAATTAATTGTAGAGTCCAGCAGCCAGAGGAACTGGCATTGGATCTGGTTTTTGTTGGTTGAATGTTTGGATAAATTCAATTTATAGTTATGGTAAAAAGGTAATTAAATGCTTAAGTACATCTAGTAAGAGATCAATTACTTATCGTTCCATCTGGATTCATCGTCATACTCTTTTCTTCGTTGAATGGGAGCAAGTGTTGGCGGTACATGGTTTTATAGGTACATTTTATCGTTTCGTTATATACGAGTTGTGTGTATATATAATTCTTTCTTACTTCGATTTGTGCAGTTTTCTCTAACGAAAACTAAAAACAAAAGTTGCATTTTAAATGGAATAAATGCTTTTTTATATTGAAAGCCTTCTGCTAAAATTATCCTCCTTCATTATCAATCTATCCCTACCATAAACTGCACAAATTCATGTTTATTTTTCTAACGATTCTTAGGTTCATTAACAAACAAAAAAGTGTGGCTAATATTGGTTAGGTTTCCCTTTGTTTTTGGTTGGTTTTAGTACACTACAAACTACAATTTAATATTTGGTTTTTGTGGTTCGGTTTTATCTTTTAAAAAGGAAAGCAATAACTACGTTTAGCAATTTATCAAACTAATCGATGTTAAAACAAATAAATAAAATATAATTGTGGTTTATTCTGCAGTGGAGTAGGGGAAATTGGGAACGATTAATAAGTTTTCATAAGAAATAAGAAACATATTCAGACATATCTTTTAAGATGGTGTTAAGATCTTGAATCTGAAGATTCCTAGATTATACAAAATTGTAAAAAGATTTGTCCTTTCAGAAGGACCATTCTACAAAGTGTTCTATATCTGATATTACATAGGAAGATGTAATTCCGGGCCTTCGGTCCCTTGTCACCTCAGCTCCACTACATAATCTTATATTCGTTTGGCACACGAATATCCACAAAAATAATAATAATAATAATAATAATAATAATTAAGATATACATACAATTCAAATATTTTCTTAAATTTTATGATCCAAGAAAGGGATCGAATGGAGTGATTGTACATACCGGTCCACCACGTTGGTTACGATTTCCCATGCCACCGCCGCCGCGCGGCAGGTCTAGCAGCGAGGGTGGATTCTGGTTCCTGAACAGGTTGTTCAGCAGATTGTTGGCCAAATTGATGGCCTGGGCGTTCATCTGTCCGCCGCCCTGACGCATATTGTTGCCAAACTGTCCGCCGCCAGGGTTCTGCGACTCCCAGGGTGACATATTCATGCCGCCCATTCGGTTGGCGCCCATGGGTCCGCCGTAGTTGTTGCCACCACCACCGCCGCCGCCGCCACCAAAGTTGCGGTTGCGGTTCTGATTTCCACGGAAAGCCATATTGATGTTGGCCTTGAGATTGCTGACGCCGTTAAAGTTTAAGGACCGATGGTGCTGGGGCTGCTGTTGCTGGGGATTTCCGTTGACTTTAACGCTGCAAGAGTTCAAGAGAGGATTAGTTGGAGATTACTTGGATCCTGGAACTGCACAGAAAAAGCAAGCAGAGGGATTTGCTCGGATGGGGGATGAAGCATACCTGACCATAATTGTGATGAGCTAGTATTGGGTTAAGTGATGGGGATTTGGTGGGATGTGTGTGTTGGGGTTTAAAGCGGGCAAATTACATAAAACAGGCTGAAAATAAAGCGTAACAAACATAAAAACAAAGCAATTTTCAATGCTAGCGGGGAAAATTAATTTTTTCGTTTTGTTAGTATTTTTTTCTACTTTTCGTTAGTGTGGCAGCCCTAATGGTAATTACAGCCAAGCCAAGCGTGCGTATACACACACACACACACACAAAAGAGTACATCAATGCAGACACTTCGGCCGCCCCTCCAAGGAGGGAAAGGGCAACACTTTTAGAGCTAACGTGAGAATTACATTAAAACCGGTTTACAGGTAGCACCCTGCACTTAATGGCAAATATAACGAGCCTCAAATTTAGTTTGTCCGTCTACAGCGGGGAGAGTGAAAAGCAAGATGGCGCTGTCCAGAGAGCTGACGATGTCTATATGTGTGGCGTACGTGTGTGTGTACGTGCAATTGATTGAGTCAGAAAGCCGGCCGGGGCCACCATGCGGGCCAGAAAGAGACAGAACAATTCAACGAAAAATGCAGAAAACGGCTGCTGCCTTTGTTTAAATATACTTTAAACAGAAATTGTTGATTACTTTTTAATAGAACTGAAGGCTCTTGTAAACTGTACTTAATCCACCCCTATCCACACCAGCATTACCCTTTTTCACATGCAGTAATGATCGAAAACGCTGGAAAAGTATGTTAAAACGTCAATTGCTTATATGCACAAAGAACAAAATCAATATTAGCTATTTTCAGCGTCCCCAGACAAGCTGGCTAACAAAGGAAAAACAGAAAACGAACAGAAAAATTGCCAACAGATACACACACAAAGAATTTTTCATAGCCACCAACCACCACATAAACGCTGAAATTGCGACAACTTTTCACATTTTGTACTTACGAATTGCAACGGCACTTATTTTCTTGTTAGTTACTGCACTATATATATTTATTATACGGTTTTTTTTAAAGATGACTGTGAAAAATATTACTTCAAAGATTTCTCGGGAACGCACACACACACACCCGAACGAGAGCAAAAAATTAATCGAACACACACACACAGTGTGACCGCGGTGTTATCGAGAAAAATACCGTCAGACCGTCAAATAATACCTAAAACCAGCAAACCTACGGTCACGTTGAAACAGAAAGACACAACTATCGACAGTGCCATCGATGGATTGACGTTTCCGATTAATTTCGAAGACGGCGCTGGATTTGAATGACTTCTTTCAACTTTTATTGAATTTGCATAAAACTGGCGCATCTCCTGTGTGTATGTGGGGGGACCAATGGATGATGCGCCCTTTACAATGCATATGCACTGTTTAATTTACATACAAAGGGATTAAACGATTATTAATTGTAAACGTTATAATAGGCAATAATCGTACACATACATATATATACTAGCAATAGTTGTTTTGTGTGTTTAGCATTCCGTAGTACTACTCTGCTGGCTTTTGTGTAGTTAATTAATTAAGTACCACAGCGTAAAGTAGGCTCAACAAAAAATATGGGTGGCATATCTTTTTCTCTTTTTCTCTCTTACTCCTACTCTTCTTTCGTTCCTTATGTTCGTTTTTTGTGTTTTTGGTTTTTGTTTTGTGTCTTTGTTTCTGGTGCAAGTGTTGGAGCGGATGCGCCACTAGCAGGCCTAAGGGAATCAGGGATTTGGGGGCTGAGTTTGTGATGGTTTAAGCTACGCGTAATACAGGTGAGAGATATCATATCCATTAACACATTCACATACATTTACATTTAGATTCAATTGGTTAGCAGGTGGCACAGGCACCCTCCGCCTTCACACTGCCTGCTGCTCAACACACATTTAGTTAACGTTTTAATGCTACACATCTATTATGGGATCCGTGGACTAAGTTGCGCTCTTTAACACATTAACTAGACGAAAACACGAACACAGAATAAGTTCGCATCGATAATGGTTTGCTGTGTTGGCTATGCGCTGAGGGACTGCTCGGATTTGAATCAGGAATTAGGAATTAGGCTGCTCGAAAGGTAGGGGTCATACACAACGTCTGCCACTCCTAGGACGCCGATTCCAAACTAACTTGCTCGCACTCTCTCTATCTTTCTATTTCTTCGTATATCTAACGTATTTACATGGCATCCGCCACAGGCGACGTCGCCTGACCCCGCACCTAATAGAAGAATAGCAACCGTTCCTGGGCCGAGGCGGAGAGGAGACGCCACGAGCGCTTGATGCTCACATACTGGATGAGGGCGCGTATGCTGATGAGGAAGCCAAAGGCGCAGATCAACCACCACAGCCAGGAGTTCTCGTGCGAGGCCAGATCCGTCGAGTGCTTGACAATCAGAGTCCATTTGGCCAGAGACAGGCCGAAGCCGGAGAGAGCGCCGTACCGGGCGGCGATCGTGTGACAGAAACAGGTGAGCATCAGGAAGCCAATCCAGTTGAAGAGAAAAGCCACAATGAAGGCCGTGATGAACATGATGTCCGTGCCGAGCAAGTTGTCAGTGGTCGAGAGACTGTTCTCCGGATCACTGGCATCGATGGCGATAAACGTCAGCGCCGGCTGAGCGGCACGCACTGCCGCCGCACCGTCGCGCAGCGGATTGGGCGGCAGCAGTGGATTCGGCGGCGGCGGCAACTGTTGGTTCGAGGGCAGCGTCAGAAATGCGGGCGGCAGCTCTCCATTCAGCGACTTTTCCATCTGCACCTCCTCGTATGTGGGCAGCTTTCCGTGCATGTCCTGCGGCAACTGTCCCACCATATCGCCACCCTGCATTTGCAGCTGCAACTGGCCACCCATCTCGTGTCCGCTCACATGTGTGGTCAGCGACAGCGAGGGCATCTGATCCTGCAGCGTGCCCTGTGGCCCCACATTCGCCTCGTATGGCGGCGGTGCACTGAAATCGGCCTTGGGCGGTCCCAGCTGATCATCATCGGAATTCTGATTGTTGTGCGGCATGGCTGGAAAATGCAACACAGAAATGGATATGGTTTGGATTAGTAAGATGATTCAATTAGTTGTAACTGCCTTGAGACTCTTTTCCCATTTATAAATTACTTAATTGAGGAATAACAAACTGTTTGCTTAGTTTCAAAGTTTAGCTCTTTCGTTCCAGCTTTTATTAATGTTAATAGTTTACGCGCATTTAGCCAAGTTAAATTAATAATAAATAAATGGTCGGCTAGCTGCCAAAATTGCATTGGATTAACTCTAAACTCTCGCGGAGAGCCAGCATCTGCTCTCATCTCATTAATACTTCTGCTATCATTTTAGAGGCACATCAGTGGGCACTTAATACTATTATTTAAACTATATCTAGTCGTTATCGAATCGTTGTCAAAAAAATAGGTTAAAAGAACATACAATAAAACAGCAGACGGGACGGTTAAACATGTTAGACATTCAATAAATAAAAACCACTTGTTCGATCATTAGTTTCGGTTTTGTTTTCAGTTTCAGTTAAAAGTTTTGCAGTTTCCAGGCCAGCGCCTGGTAGTGGGCTTCCTCCAGCGAGAGTATACGGCAAGGCGCGAACGGTCGTCGGGCTGAGCGCATCGGCTTGTGGCTGTCCACCTCGTCCATGCCATCGTTCAGGCAGCCACCGCCACCCGCCACATCGCCCACTTCGGTGCCGCTGTCGTTTAGCTTCTGCTTCTGCTGCTTCTCGTGCCGCATGTAGAGGATCACACAGCACATGGCCATGAAGAGCAGCGCCAAGGTAGCGCCACTCACGATGCTGGCCTTCTCCAGCATCACACGATTCCGCGTGGGTAGATAGGAGCCGTCGATCTCCTTGTACTCGCACCGCTGTCCCATGAATCCTAAAGCGCACTCGCAGTTGTACAATATATCGTTGTGGATCTCCACGGTGAAGCAGGTGGCATCGTTGAGGCAGTACCAGGCAGCATACGTCGGCGGGCACTTGAAAGTGGGAAAAGTGATGTTTGGCCTCGGCGTCGTTATGGCCACATTATCCGGCGGCAGTGTTGGCACGGCTCCTGCTCCTGGTCCCTCTGTGCTGGGCGGCGCCTCCGGACGGGGCTTGGGCATGGGTCGCGATGAGCAGGCGGCACAAAGCGTCAAGCAGCAGGCGCTGATTAGAGCATAGGCAAGCAGCAAGCCAGGGGCTCTCATCTTAACGGATGGATTCAGATTTGGAATCGAATTTCGCTCTTATATCTAACGCATTTCTGGTTTACTTGTCTGGAATGTGGGCTTGACTGTGGGTGTGTATTGTGTGTGTTTGTGGTGTGCCTCTCTGGAGAGTTCTTTTGTGACTGGACGGACTGGATTGGATGACTTTTGGCTGATTGGCTGTCTGGGCGGCAGGCTTGTGTTTTGTTTTTGGTGCTGCTGCAAAACAAAAACGAAGTGCAATTAAAATCAACTCAAAATTGTTGTACTTGTGTGTTGTTTGTTGTTCGGTACGGTTCGTTTTTGTTTTTTTTAAGGAGATTTAAACTCGTATTATTATTATTGCCTGCCTATACCGCCAGCCGCCCCTGTTACTGTCGCTCTCTCTACCTAAGTGAAAGCAAAGAATAAGAAAATCGAATTTCATAAATTTTTGATCAAAATGTCATCGTTTATTTACCTGACGGAGGGAATTCGCGAGAGCGCGCTCGGTACTCAAGCTGCAGCTATTTACACAGTTTTTATTTATTCATTATATTCATTATTCGCTTGTCACTCGCGTTGTCACGCACTTGACATCAAAATGCACTTGAAACACTTGAATGTATACTGTTACATGTAAAATATAGTATGGTTGCATGAACAATTTTATCTTATCTTTCAAAATAAACAATTTCCCAACAATTGAAATGAGAACTTCTGTCTTCTGTTAAACGATGTGGCTATCGATGTTTAACACTGGCCACACATGCATTAGGGGTATTCCACAAATTGATTTTTATTTATTTAATTTAACGGCCGACAACCATATTTATTTCTTTTGACAAAAACAAATCAAAAGCTATTTGTGGAGTACCACTGGCATAACCAGAAATTGCCCCATGTGGAGCGATCAATTAATGAAATCTAAATTGAAGGTTTAAATATATTGAGCAGACAGTTTTCCAGTGCAGCTAATGTCCACCAGGTATTTCGTGTTCATGTGTTAGTCAGGTGAGTTTGGTATACCTGCATTCCACAGTAATGTCCTTGAACTTAACCGTTAGGACTCACTGGAACTAGGATACACTCACTCCCAATGATACAAGCACACTCTGGCTTCTATAAATACCAAACAAAAATAAAGAAAATATACACACACTACAGCGAGAAAGTAGACAGCTGAAATGGAAACGAGGAATGACAGGCACAAGAGTGAGAGAGGAAAGTAGAGGCTGGAATGGATGGAGGAATGGATGTGCCTGCTGCCGGCTAACAGAGGCACAAGACACAAATGCAATCAAGTTGACCTTTCGGTCAATTGAAATGGAAAGAACCCAGAATCGAGGGGAGAGAGCACTCACACACACACACACTTTCAGCACTGAAGGGGAGCAGAAGGGACGGGACCCAAAAATAGTTGAAGTCAATCAAGAAATTGCGTGAGCCGGAGCAATCAGAGTGTGAGGGATGCGACATGGAGGCGATTTAGGTTGGGCCCAATTTGTGCCATGCAAATGCGCGAGGGTGTGTGTCTGTGGGCGAACATATGAACCGGACATACATACAGTCGTAATAAACCCTGTAAACATGAGCTAATAGACTCGATGACGAGCCCCATGGGCCTCTCAACACCTGGGGCACCTATCAACGTCTACGGTGAGAGGCGAAGGGTGAAAATAAAACGAATGCTGATTAGTACACCAATATCAACAAGCTTTGAACGCCATTGATAAAGTGGATGAATGGCATCCACAAGTGTGGATTTCATTTGTACATATGAATGTGTGGATGCTAGGGCAATTACAGTTACCTGTGGATGAGTCAGATGTATTTGAAAAATGGCAAAATTGCACGACAGCAAGGTGGTACAGGTACTTGAGCACCACATCACATCACCACTCTCTAGACCCTAGAGGGAGAAAGCAAACAAAACCTGGCGTGACAAAGGCGTGGAAAAATTAGCAAGAAAAATAATATAACGCAGTTTACGATTTCAGTCGCCTCTGGGCCTGGTTTTGAATTTCTGCTTTGTGGCCGCCTGTTGATAAGAAATATGAGCGCGTGGACAGCTGCTGTCTGGAAGGCGACTGGAAGGGGTTGACACATGCAGCAGGTGTAGACAGACAAAGAGAGCGAGAGAGGGGCGGCTGCACTACCATGGCCAAACCAGTTAAACGGGACCAGTGCACAAAAGAGAGATGAGAAAGATGCAAGCGGAAGCTGTCTGAATGGAAGGAAGGTCCCCTCCACTCAAGGGGCAGCTTGAATGAACAGCTAAAGCACAGCTACAATTGCATTACTGCGCGTGTGTGTATAAGAACATTCTACCGAGGCAGGCGGGGGCGGCGCTGCATGTCAGAACAAGTTTCCAAGCCTCTTGTTGTTGCTTTTGTACAAGGGCAAACGAATTAATTTACTCGAGTAAATATGAATTAAATAAACAGCTAGACACACACACCAAGGCAAACCTTATCACTGTGTGTAGTTTTTTTAGCACCTCAGTGGCGAAATCCCGTGGGATTATTAATTAGAAATGTTAATTTTCCAAACAAACACGCACATATACACACAAACACACTTCGCACAGGCAAACACTGCTGCTTTTGCTCTCCTGGAGCCTGACGCTGTATAACCGTGTTCATTCTCTGTCTCACTCTCTTGCTATTTCTGGGCGCACTTTTTCTTACCCGTTCAATGCTTTGATCTTATTTCTAAATTATTTTAAATCGAATTTCTTGCATTTTGCCTTTTTCTGTGCCATGTTCTATTTATTCACCTTTTTTCCTCCTCTATGCGTTGCTTGCTGCGGGTTTCGTTTCTCTTTTGCGCAGCGCTCGCTCTCGCACGCTCCAATTTATTGATTTGGCCACAAAATTTGTTGTTTGCCAAACACACACTGAATACTGTTGGGTTTTCAGCTCCAATCACAGATTGGATCTACGTGTATCTTGATTAGTGCACTTTTTTAAAGCAGTTTAAACTAAATTTTAACTAGACGAAGTAAAAACAAATGCACCAGTGTGACCGCGAAATTATCGATAATATATACCGCCAGGGCCTTGTAAATATAGCAAAATATACCATTACATCTTCAAAATATACCGTAAATATACCGTAGTCTTAAATCAAAATTCTCGATTTTGATGTTCTATTTGATATTACTAGCTTGCAAATACTTTCACCACTGAAACAATAATTTAATCCGATTGAATAATCAACTTTGCTTATTATAAATACTCCTCTTTATTGGATTGTATACCTTATGACCTTATATTTTAAAATTTTGTATTTGAATTTTTCATTCAAATAACCCTCTCTGTAAGCACGGGTGCTTTGACTTCAGTATGTATGTAAATTATTAACAGTTATGTTACAACAGACATGTTAACTTTTTAGAATAAATCTAATTAAGATTCTCAAGAATATTCTTTCACACAATGCGCTTAAAATGTGCTTTATAAGCTATCAGATTTTCAACATTTAACGTCTCGAGAAATACCTAAAGGGAGCACTTTATACCGATACACCGATATCATCCTGCACATCGATAAATGTAAACAAGACGTGGACATAAATAATTAGAATTAGCCATAATTATGCAGAAACTTGTGTTTTTTACACTGTTAGCCATTGGTGTGAGTATTAAGTGTGCCATTGCCTGGAAAAGATAACATTTTACTGCATTACAGAGCCAGCAAATCCATGCAGAATTCACGGCAGCAGACTGCCGGGAGCTGGGCTTCATCAAGGCCCAGCTAATGTGCTCCAGTTGCGACAAGCTGGATGACTTTGGCCTGGAGACCCTCAAGTAAGTAGCAGTTTGTGTTGTCTAGCATTCCTATATTAACAATTTCCATTTCACAGAACCCCCTGCAAGCAATGCTGCACTTTGGATCAGCAACCGGCGGCACAACGCACTTATGCAAAGGCCATTCTCGAGGTGTGCACCTGCAAGTTCCGTGCCTATCCCCAGATACAGGCGTTCATCCAGAGCGGGCGGCCAGCCAAGTTCCCCAATCTCCAGATCAAGTATGTGCGTGGACTAGATCCCGTGGTAAAGCTACTCGATGCTGCTGGAAAGGTGCAGGAGACTTTGTCCATAACCAAGTGGAACACGGACACCGTCGAGGAGTTCTTTGAGACGCATCTGTCCAAGGATGGCAAGGGCAAGAGCTCGTACAGTGTGGTAGAGGAGGCAGTCGACGACGACGACGATGATTATTTGCTAACAAATAAAGTTTGAGATTTTAATTCCCATAAAATAAATTCCACAGTTTGAAAGTCACTATGACAGTGGAACAAGAAAGAGAGTGAGGGAGAGAGCTTTGGGTGAAAAAATCTGCTACTGCAATGCGACGCACCCGAAATTCTCAAATTCTTGATTCATAAAAATAAATTAATACTTTTTATTCGGTATCTTTCCATCGATTGAATTGGAGCGACCGGTGTGGTGTGGATTGGATTGGGGTCCGGCCCGGACCGCCTGTACAACAATCACAATGTCTGAACATTGTTTTCGACATTCTTATCACGGAGACATCACCGTCGTTGCGGTACGGTGGTACTTTACCTTTACTTCCCCCTTCAGGCAATCAGCCATGACGTCGTTGGTCGGCTCACATGGCCAGTATAACCAATATTTGAACAGTCTGTTTAAATAATTGTGTTAACGGATAATGCAAATAGTTCTTAGGTATTTCCGACCGCTAAAACTGATGTCTATTTCCGATCTGTGACGCAGCCATCGTCTCTCTCCCTCTCTCCTGATCAATTTCGGAAGGAAGCTGCTCTCCATCCATGTTTTAGAGGATCTCAAGTGCAGCCAGAGAGTCTCTGCACACACGGAGAGAGAAGATAGAGAGGACGCGTGCTGATTGGCAAATGAAAATGTTTTTGCATTATTATCGCCTGTTTACGTTTCATTACAATGCAGTTTTGTATTTGTGTGTCTTATTTGCTTTAATCATGCTTCTTCTTCCTCTCCTTCTTACATTCTCCTTCTTCTTCTTCTTCGTGCTGCTGCTTCTGCTGCACTTGTTTATTGTTTAAATCAAAGTCTGCGGTGCACAGTGGGCAAAAATGAATCTTAATTGCATAATACTGTTGAGCATCTCAGAGTTAAGTGTGCACTCCCTCACTCTCTCGGCATCATTCCATTAGCTTTGCATTCACATCTTAGGATTGCACTCATTTGCACTCTCGCTCTCTTTCTGTGTACCGTTGTTTCGGACTGAGCATCTGTGTGGGCATAACACATCTCAGGGTTAAAGAGTGTACATATGTACACTCTCTCCCCTGCTCTTGCACCACTTTAACTGTATTGCTGCATTTCCCCTTTTATTTCGCACCACTGTTATTCTTTCTGTGCCAGCGGGGGCTGAGTACTGCTGCAGAGCCGGGGGCCCTTTTCTCGGAACGCCATCCACCTCCATCTTATCGGTTATATTTTCCCTTTCTTGGAAAGCCATTCCCCACGTCCATGCTGCCACTCTAGAGGCAATGCATCCAAGCATAAATGCGAGTACATGTGCCAAACCCAACTCTAACGTCAATGACGTGGGGGCCCTCTGAGGCGTATGGGCTATTTTTAGCGGCTGGTATCACAAAAATGTACATACACATTTACACTCGGAGGCGGCTACCACGCCCCAATATCAAGCAAAGGAAAGTGCGACCTACAATCAATACTAATTATTTGCCATTATTATTATTCCTACAGTTTCATTGGGGGCAGTGGAGGGAGCACGGGAGAGAATCTCTTCTCCCGAACCTTATCAATAAGGGGACTCGGACTCGAGTGCATTCAACTGTTGTGTGCCACAGAAACTACATGCAATTGTACGTACATACAAAGTGTATAAATAAAGGGTGTCTGGCTAGAGAGAGCGCGAGTTTTTAGGATAGTTTCATAACAGAAAGTGGAAGAGATTTGCTGTACGGCATTCAAGGCAAGCAGGCCGCAAGGCAATGTATCACCTCATTTAAAGACACCTTGGGCCGGGCAGAGAGCGAAGCGAACACTTTCAATGTCCCCCAACGTCCATGCCCCCCATGGATGAGATGGGATGGGTGGTTTGGGGTGGGGTGGCGTGGCATGGATGGATGTCGTGCACTGAATGTCGACTGATTCTGCACCCCCCACGACCTGGGCAGGGAGGAGAGCAGATCTGTTGTTGCTGCTGCTGCTACTGCTGTTGTTTCTTCTCTCGTGCTTTTTGCGTTCCACTGATAACATTTGCGCCTTTGGAGTGCTGGAGCTCTGATAACGGTAATGACGTTATCGTCACAGCGTCATATTTGACCAACACACACATGCATACACACATACAGGAACACACACACAAACACACTTAATCAAGCAAGCGATTTGATTCCATGCCATTTTAGCACTTAATTAAGAAATAACATGAACAAAAAATAATAATCAACCTAAGCTAGCAATCTTGTACTTCCCTCCCTCTCTCTCTCTCTCTATCAGTGTGTCTCACTCTCTCTGTTTCTGTTTCTCCCTTTTGTTCATTCTCCACGTTTCAGTTTTGGCGCGGGCCAAAGTTGTTTTTGGTTAACAGTTGGCTACAGTCTATACTCACTAACAAGTTTTGAATATTGAAAGCTCAACCAACACTTAATCCATACATTTTTTCGAATTGTCTCTCTGTCGTACTCTTGAGTGTCTTGCCAACATCTCCATTAAACTCTGTTCTTCTATATGAAGCCTGACTGTGTCAGCTTTAACTGTTTGTGTTTCTCCCCTTGCGCTTTGCCCTTCCACACGCTAATACATACGTTCCATTACCACATGTGCGGCGGCGGCTTGCCCTTTACCGTTAGCAGCCTGTTGCTGTCAGGCTCTCTCTGTCGGGGGATCGAACTCTTGCTCTCTCTCTCCCTCTCTCTTGTTAATTGGTTTTGCGGCTGTAAATATCAAAAACTTGATTTTGGAATTACGATATCTGCTTGTATTATTTATTAACCAAATACTGACGTCTTCAGCATATTATTATTTATTTTATTTATTCTTTAATCTGCGACGCTTCCGTCTCTCTCCCACCGTCGCACATGTTCAAACAATGGACCTGAAGAGTTTAGGAAACGTAGCTCTAAAAGCTGAAGATGGCTAGGCAGCCAAACAAGACAAGACTGATTTTTTCCGAAATTTGACTGAATTATGTTGAAAGTTATTATTTTACCCATGCCTTAATCATATACATAGGCTTATGGAAAGGTCACCAGGTGCCAGAAGACATCTTCGATTATCTGCATGGGCATCAAGCGGAGTAAAGTATCTCCGGCCCCTAGCAGTTATTCAATTTGCCTCATTGAACTTTGACTACAAAATTTAGCACACACAAAACACAAACTACGCCGCGCTTATTAACAAAGACACTAACTACAGTACTCGTACATGTCCCAGTATCCCAGTGTGGGTAAGCGCCTCCAGAGAGTGTGCTGTGTGTGATAGTGTGTGAGCCAGCGAGCAATTAATAAATGTGCTTGATTATTATTTTTTTTTCTATAAATTTACATAATTTTACGTGCAATTATTCGCACATTGAATAATGCATGGCATGCGTCCCACGTAAACGGCATTTGCAAAAGAGGATAGCGGCCCCTTGGGGTCTCTCTTCCAAATCGTAATCGAACAGGTGGTTTCGGGTGGTTTGGCTTATTTCCATGGTTACTTAAAGATGGAAAAATACTTAAGAGTTTCTTTGACTTAAACAGATCTTTTTACAGTAAGGTTACCTTAAAGATTGTGGTTTAAAAATCTCCTTGTAGTTTGAAAAAAATCGGGATGGTGTCTTGGACTTTAAAATCAAATTTAAGATTTATTTAAAACAAATAACTGTGTTATTACATTGAATATAATCTTATGACTGATTCTCCTCTGGTTGGTTTCTTGTTTGTTGCTGCAGTTGATTTATCGTTATTTCATAAGTGTAATCATATATTACATACACAATTACTTAGTTTGTATTTGTATAATAATATAATAGTATAATTTATAATTAGCGTTTCACTTTCTTAGCCATTATAGTTATTATTATTATTATATTTCTTTAAGTTTTTTGTTGCATTTTAATTTATAAGTATATTTTTCGTTTAAACACAAAACAGCAAGGACAAAAGACTTTTAATTCTTTTTTTGCTTTGTTTTGTTTTGTGTATATTTTATTTGCGCGTTGCCCACATAAATTACATTTATAATTACATATATATTTCTCTTCTCTTTTCTCTTTTTTTGTTGTCGATTTTTTTTTTGCGTTTTTTGCCTGTAAAGATTTCGCTTTTCTCTCGCATTTAAGTTTAGTTTATAACTAGGGTTTTACATCGATAATTAAAAAAGGGAAATCTTGCAAAAACATCGCGGTTACTAATATTAACAATTAGATTATCTTTAGATATTTATATATGTATTGTATATAATCGTATGTATCGTATAAGTTCTGGTACTCGAATCGAATAAAACATTTCCTTTTTTGCACTTTAGAAGTTTTTAGTTTTGTGTGGCTTTTTCTCTTTTTGTTACATTTATTAAGTAGATTAGCAATGAGGGTTCTTTTTTTTTTTGGATTTTCGGGGGCTTGTATTATCTATAAACAATGTCTATTATATGGGGTTTCGGATCGCTCTATATCCTAACTATTCCACTCTCCTTATTGTTTCATGCAGGCCATTTGAATTTTCCGTAGTTATTGAATTGAATAAAATTTACAATACAAATTTTATGCTATGTTTACACGAGGCATTTCATGAGTACCTGATGTTAAAGCCGTAGCTTTTTATGTGCAGACTCCGGATCCTGAAATGTACTTCGTGTAGACAGAGTTTTGGTAGACTTTGTTGCAGGTGTTGAAAAACGTTTTGGAAATATATTTACTATCTATCTATTTATTTATTTATTTATTCAGGTTAAAGATTGGTAGTAAAAAATGGGGTTTTGTATTCCTTTTTCTAGTTTTGAGTTCGTTATATATTTTGATTCTTGCTTCGTAAAATTTGTCGTAGCAGTACACTGCTTGGAACAGGTTGTTCCAATTGTGAGCTGCACTTGTGCCTGAGGACAGCTATAGCTCACTGTCTGATCTATCAATTATATACATATCTGTATATATATATTTATTTCGCTACACGCATATGTCTGTTTGTTATATACTTGTTTATTTAATTTTGTGATACTGCGTTCATGAAGAAAGGATCTCGAATGTATTTTATCGTTTTGTATTCGAACAGTGCTTGGCGGTTGGTGCCGGGGC